CCTGGATGGGGCCTATAAAAGCATCATGTTGAAATGCATTAACATAATTCCTACATCTCAGGAAGATTGCAGGAGATCACAAATCTCCAGGATTAAATGCAACAAGCATTAATCTTAAAGCAAGATGTAGTCAGCACCCACGTGGGCAAATAAGAGAGCTCCTCTCTCCTTAGAGCCCCTAGAACTGCACGTCAAGTGATGTGTGTTGCCAGGAACCTACTAACATCAAGAGAAGAAATACTCACTAAGGAATTGAGGCCCAGAGAGGTTGCAGAGTCCATTCAGGTTCATAGGATTCTTTGGTGGTCATGACAGGACAAGAATCCAGATGTGAAAGGACTTTGAGCAATTATAAAAAGACATAGTTTCAAATGTGCCTAAATACTAAGAACATTAATTATCTCACCTGAGGAGAAACCCAGAGGTAGGGCTGGCTCCCTGCATGGTACTACAGGGATCCTATTTCATTTTTCTGCCTTTTGCTCTGCCTCCCTCTGAAGTGTCGGCTTTGTTCTCAGTGTAAGTCTCCTTGTGGTCACAAGGAGGAACAGAAAAAAATTCTGGTAGGAACAGAAAAAAATTCTTTCCTATTCCTACCCATCAGGAAAGAGGCCAAATACATCCCCCAGGCAGGAGTAAATGTCTGGTCTTTCAGGCTGGTTGGTCTAATGTAGGTCTTTAACCACCTTTAGACAAATAGTCAACTAGGGGAGCATAAGCATTGGTTTCCTCAATTAGTCCCTGGAAAGGAGGAGTGGGCTGACTGTCACTGGCTACCTAATTAGGAAGCTGTCTTGGAATCAACTCCCACTCAATACTGTGGGCAGTGAAGGTGAAAGGAATTATTTATTTTATTTTAAATTAGTAATAGTTAAAATATGATGAATAACAATTGTACATATTTATGAGGTAAAATGTGGTATTTCAGTACACGTGTAATTGTGAAATGAACATATTAGACTAATTAGCATGCCCATCACCTCAAATATTTATCTTTATTTATTTATTTATTTTTTTGGTGGTGAGAACATTTAAAATCCTCTTTTAGTTGTTTTGAAGAGAGGGGAGCTGTTGAACCAAATAAGGTTCAGTCAGCTCTGCTTAGGAGGATTCAGGTCGTGAAGGAATGTTTTACGCCTTCACTGTTCCATATGGTACTACCTGGCCAAATATGGCCACTGAGCACTTGAAATGTGGCAAGTGTTAGGGGGGAATTGAATTTTTCATTCAACTTGATTTAAGTCATTGTAGTGGCTGTGGAGTTAGAAAGATGCAAGGGGTGTGGGTGCTGGGAGGTGATGTGTGTCCACCACCCCAGACCCTCTGCCCTTTACTCTGACCTGCTTTCCCAGGGATGTCCCATTACCATGCTTTCTTGCCCAGTTATTTCTCTCCCACTTTATTTTCACATTCACCACATCATAGTTCTATAATGTTCAGAATGAAACCCAGAGTCTGATGATGAGGTCGGAGTGGGAGGGGAATGATAACCCTTTAAGAAAATCATGCCAGGGGAGCTGGATCCAGTTGAGAATCTCAGAAATCTCGCGCACACTGAAGGCAGACTTAAAAAAAATGATTATTTTCAAAGATATGGATTTCCCCCAAATTTATTAATTTTTTTTCTTTTTTAAAATTTCAGATTAACTTGAGGGTACAATTAGGTTACAATGTTTGCATTTGTTAGGAAGAGTCTCTGTTGTAGTTGGGCCCTGCACCCAGGAGGTGGGCCATATGTCCTTACCTTGTGCCCAGTAAGCGAGAACATACCAATCTCCCTTCCTACTGGCCTCCCCACCCTCTCGCCTGTCCCTTCCCTCAATTGGAATTGAGTTGAGTTTTTCTCTTACGTGGGTGTATTAGTCTGTCTACTGGCTTCATACCAGTATTGAGTACATCGGACACTTGCATTTCCATCCTTGTGATGCTTTACTAAGAAGAATGTGTTTCAGCTCCATCCAGGTTAATACAAAAGATGTAAAGCCCTCATCTTTTTATGACTGAATAGTATTCCATGGTATACGTGTATCATAGTTTGTTAATCTTTTCCTGGGTTGATGGGCATTCAGGTTGTTTCTACATCTTGGTGATTGTAAATTGAGCTGCAATAAGCAATCTAGTGCAAATGTCCCTATCATAAAATGTTTTCTTTTTTCCTACTGGGGATATGCTTAGTAATGGGATTGCAGGATCAAATGGAAGGTCTATTTTGAGTTCTTTGAGGATTCTCCATACTCTTTCCAGAGGCTGTATTTTTGCAGTCCCACCAACGTTGTAAAAATGTGCCATTCTTTTCACATCTGTGCCAGCATCTGCAGCTTTGAGACTGTGATGTTTCCCCCAAATTTAAAAGATAATTTGTAATTTAAAAAATGGAGAATTACAATGCATAAGTCTGTGAAAACTGAACATATCAACATCAATTAAACTCAAGGAATATTTTGTGGATGGTTACCACACAGAAATAGAACTTCTTAAGGGAAATTGCCCAGGGATGAAGAAAGAGCAATTCTTTTTTTTTCCCCCTCCCTTTTGGTAAAACTGGATAAACAAAGAAAGGGGTACTAGCAAGCAGCTCTTCTGTTCTCACATCTAAGCAAAACTCAGAAGCAAAGATGCATCCAACAGATGAAGACACCCAGAGCTGGTGGGTGTTCCCACCTATGGAGATGGCTCTGTGTTCACACTTGTCATTCTGGCACAGTTAGCAGTAGTGCCATCTTTCACACTCAGAAGTGTGCTAGTTTGAACAATAAACTCCATTTACTCTGGTCTCCTTTCTTATAGGCAGAAGGACACATTTTCATCTCCCATACATGCAAGGTTCTTGTTAGCTCTGGAAACCATGAGAACAGTCCTCTCCTCAGCAGTGTGGTCATTGGCACCAAAGATACCTCCTTTTGTTGTCAGACTCCATCACAGCCCTCTGCTCTGAGCTGCCCTCAAAAGCAAAATATGGTGATGAGGGAGGCAGGGGTAAGAGGGCAGCAGATAGGGATGCTGAGTTTACCTCTGCCACTCAGAATTACGTGGCCCTATTGACTTGACTTCCCTTACTCAGATAAATGGCACAGTACCCATGCCTAAACATTACATGTTACCTCATTTGTATCACTAAGAAACATGCACAGTAAGGAGAGATTTGTTTTTCTGAGACAGGGTCTTATTCTGTCGCCCTGGGTAGAGTGCCATGATGTCACACCTCACAAGCAACCTCAAACTCTTGGGCTCAAGTGAGCCACTTGCCTCAGCCTCCCAAGTTGCTGGGACTATAGGCATCTGCAACATCTCCTGGCTAGTTTTTCTATTTTTAGTAGAGACAGGGTCTCGCTCTTGCTGAGGCAGGTCTCTAACTTCTGAGCTCAGGTGATCTACCAGCCTCAGCCTCCCCCAAATGCTAGAATTATAGGTGTGAGCCACCATGCCTGGCCATAAGGAAAGACTTGGGATGTCTATTTTACATTACCAGTACATAGAAGAAATCTAATATTCTTCAGGGATGATCATCAGAGCTGTTGTATGATGGTCTGACAATTAAGTTTGTGAACTTGCCACTGCATACTTAGATTGGCAGCACTGTACAAACACCTCAGGAAGGTTTTGTAACCTTGGTATACCATCAGTGTCTAAGGTGTGTTTGTGTTAATGTGTGGTAGTATCTTGCTGAATAGTGTTCATTATTGTTGTTGGCTGTTTTTGTGTATTGTACAATGACACCTATGATGGTGATTCTAGAAAAAGAGTTCCAAAATTGCTTTGAAGCGTGGACTAAGCACTGGGTTTGGTGCACAGCTTCCCAAGTGGAATACTTGGAAGGTGACTGTCAGCAATGAAGTATGTACCACTTTTCCTAGGATGAGTTCACAAATGTAATTGTCAGACTACATATCACCAATGCCCTGAAAAATTGTTTCCTTTTCTTTCTTTCTTTTTTTTTTTTTTCTGGCCAGCCCAGTTCAACAAGATTAGGCTAAAATGATTCTCCTTGTTTTTCTGTGCTGTTCTCCAGCAGTGAGGCTAGAGAGGAGGATTAGTAGAAGAATCTGAAACTCCTTCACTCATTGTTTCAAAGTCAAAGCTGCATTTGTAAAGGCTACTTATCATGATAAGAAGTAACTTTAGTCATCACTCACAGCTTTGCAAAATCCTGTCTCCGCAAAAGTATTTGCTTGATGGTAACCTGGTGCCCACTGAGCCCTCCACAGTCCATGCAGAAATCCTTCCTGAGATGTTGTGGTGGAGACTGACTCAATGTTCCCTTAAATCACTCTGGTAATGGGAAATTTTCTGACTCACACGGTCCATTCCAATATTGGCTAGCTCTGAATTTTACTTTAAAATGAATCTTCTTTCTATTACTCTCAGTAGTTGTCTAACTTCCCGTAGCCTCTCTCCCTGGCCACTGCCATTTGGACTACCAATGCCACTCGATAGGGAATGCGTAGTCCCTCTGACCTATTGAAGATTTAAAGTCATGGTTGGCAGAAATTTACATTTGGCCATTTTCCATCTTCTCTCTCATGTGGTCCCTTCTTCACACCTCATCTAATGGTTTAACTGTTCTACCATCCTGCTTCTCCTCCTTTTTACTCTGTAACTATCCCTGAGGTTTCTAGACTAGAATTACAGATATGACCACTGTTGACGCCATTGGAACCGTGATTTGTCTCGGTACCTAATATATTCTAAGTTGAAGAGAATAAAATTAAATATTTTTTCTCTCAGTAGCTATCATGAAACTTCTAAGAAACAGTATCCTAGACACTATTCAAGAACTTCAAATGGTTGCTACCAAATAATTAGAGGTGCCTGATTTTGTCTGTGAAAACTAAAATGACAAATCCCTTAAGAGAAAATAGAATCATTTGCTCAGAACCAACTTTTAAATTCTTGTAGAAAGAACAGTCAAAATAAACAGCATCCAGTGTGATTTGGAGGTTTCTTACATGATGCCATTCTTTGCAAAGAAACATGGAAATTCACTTAGTGCCTGTGGCGGGTTATTTATTTTGTCATTTGCTATCATCCCAGTTGCTCTGTAGTCATTCAGAGGAAGAGCTGAGGAGATCACAGTCATTCGCTCTGTGGTTCCCAGCTTCCTGGCTTTTTTCTCTGAGGCCAACAGAGTCATAGCGCGTCAAGGAAAACTGGGATGTTTTCTAAGAGATACAAAAAGAGTAGTTGAGGAAACATACACATTTTCTCAGAGACAGACAATTCCTAAGAGAATAGAACCAAGTGGGGTGAGTAAGCGACACAGCAGCCTGAGACTTGGCCATTGACTCCTATCTGTATTTGTGACAGGTCTGTGTCTGGGAAAGGCCCAGAGCAACTCTAAGATGGTGCCTCTGAGAAATGTTCCAGAACAGATATTTGCAACACTGGGGGCATCCAGGCACTTTAAACACTGTGCAATGTGACTGTGTATCAAGAATGAGTTCATAACTAAAAATATCTTGAGTAATTGCCCACTGGATAGAATTGTTAGGGAGCTGGGAACTAGCACTCTTTGCATGGTAGGACCCGGCACTTGAGGCTGCTGAGCTCAGAAGGCTGCTCCTAGCCTGAATGGTGCTTTTAAACATGTTCAATGCAAAAAGGCAAGAATGTACAAGGAATTCATTTAATAATCTTGCAGTCATGGAGTGATTACTAAAGAGATGTTGATTGACATCTTCGAACTAAGATTCCCATGAGAAAAATTGAGTTCAGTATACTATCTGCCAGAAATCAATCAGTATTTATTGATCATCCATAATTTTTTCAGTCAGCACTGAGTTGGGCATTTGAAGGATTATCCAAATAAAAAAAGGCATGATCTCTAAACTTAAGCAGCCTTAAATCTAGCTAGGGAGCCAAGACTAATACTTTTGAATTCATGATTAGATTGATAGGACCATCTTTCAGAATGCTCCGAAATGGGAATCCATTCCAGGTGGAGGAAGGGCACTATGAAGAGAGGCTTGGAGAATAAGGGTGACCTAGATGAGTATAAATGGGACACGGGCTGAATTTTTATTCGAGTACTTTTAATTCTAAAAGGAAAATTAAACAAGAGCATGGAGAGCTCAGCAGAAGTCTATCAGCATCTCAGTCTGCCTGTGGAGCGTTCTGTGGCATGACATTGAAGAGTTTGTGTGCCTTTGGTGAGGGGATTTAGCCTAGTCATGGGCAGGAAGTAACATCTAATGGGTTCCCTTAAGCTGAAGAGTACGTTTTGTAGCAGACGTTTGGAGAAGCCTAGGCCTAGGATGTAGTGAGAAGGTGCGGTGCACGTAGGAGCAGAGAGAGGCTGATGTCCAGGAAGCCTCGGGAAATCGGTGTGAGTAGCCTCCTGCGTACTGTGATGGTGCCAGGGAGAGGGCGAGAGAGAAGAAATGAGGGGCATGAGGCCTTGTGAGGAGAGCAGAATGGCAGGATATGACCACTCACTGGTCCCAAGGGATCAGGGAGCAGAGAAGGTCAAGGCTAATTTAAAGCTTTTGAGACAGAGGACAAGAATCTCTTTTAACAGGTCAGAGGGCAGGGAAGATGATGAATATGGCATCATGAGTTTAAGGAAATCCAATTTGAAAGACCTAGTAAGTTGGTGGGGCACAGTGGCTCATGCTTGTAATCCTAGCACTCTGGTAGGCTGAGGCAGATGGATTGCCTGAGCTCAGGAGATGGAGACCAGCCTGAGCAAGAGTGAGACCCTGTCTCTGCTAAAACTAGAAAAATTAGCTGGGCCTGGTGGCTGGCACCTATAGTCCCAGCTACTCAGGAGGCTGAGTCAGGAGGATCCCTTCAGCCAGAAGTCTGAGTTTGCTGTGAGCTAGGCTGAGGCCCCGGGACTCTAGCTTGGAGCAACAGAGTGATACTTTGTCTCGGAAAAAAAAAAAAAAAAAAAGAAGAAGAAGAAGAAGATCCAGTAAGTCACTGGAGATGTGAAATTGTATTTGGGGTATCAGTTCAAACAAAGCGGGTCAGGTTCGTCTTCCCTGCTAACAAGTATAGACAAGGAAAACAGAATTCTTCCCTAGCAATTGAGGGCACTTTCTTTTCTATACTGCTCTCTCTACATCTGTTTTCTAAAAAACACACACACTTTTTTTTCTGGAGTTAAGCTTTTAAAAATGTATTAGATTGCAAATAAGTAGAGAAAATAGGAAAGAATATTCCAGGCACAGTGACTGACATTAACAAAGAACTAAAAGCCATGAAATAACAGAAATAAATATAGGATCAGAGTGGGGCAAGACTAGAAATCCGACTCAGTCATATTCCCAGGGCTTGGAATGGCTTCCCGAGCACCCCAGGCCAGGAAGATGCTCACCGCTCTGAGCTCTAAGGCTCAAAAGGTACTTACAACTGATTTCCTATTTGTGTAAACCTTAATTTCCATTTTTTGATTATAAGGTTTCAGTCGATAAGAGTATGCAAACTCACTGTTGTACTCCACAGAAACTCATGCTTAATAAAATATTTCTTGATTTAAAAAAAATGGTCTTGTTTTCCAATTTTTATGATGGAAGATGGCATTCAAAAATGCAAGTGGCAAACAACCCTGTTTCTTTTACGTAGCCATTAAGGCGAAGCCGGGCTTGGGGGGTGTAGTGGATGTTGGTCATGTGGCATCCATCGTATTCTCCATCTTCCATCTGAGAGATCACCTGTTTTATGAACCCACACCCACTCCAGAAGCTGCACAGGGCAGCATGGCCATTCGTCACTCCAGCTTGCAGTTGAGATATGGGTGTGGGAATTGGACACACACGCAGTATTCTGGATCTGGAGCTATCGAGGCTCCAGAAGTGCAGAGCACCACAGTGCAGAAGTTGTTCTAAGGGTAGCAACCTCCTGCAAATTACGGGAACAGAAGTGGCATCTGGGGTCAGCTGTCAGGACTGGGGCCAGTGTAAGATGAAACTTCCCAGGATCAGAGGGAGCCACAGCAGGGGACCCTATGCCAGCTCCGCAGCCAGACTCTGGCCCTGGTCACAGTGCCTCACTGTCCTTTCCTGGTGTTCAGTTTTCAATTCTGTTCTGTCTTTCCAGAGTTTCCAACCCATTGAAGGATTGTAGCAGTCACCTCCAACTTCATTCCCGCTCAGATATTCCTTTTTGTTTGCAATTTTTTTTTTTTTGAGGCAGAGGAACAAATTTTACCCTTTCAGTAAAATTTTCTCGTGAATTATCCACAGCTGATTTTTGCATGAGACTAAGAAAGTAGGATGCCCCATTTATACGAATTTTCTGTAGCATTTGAGACAGGCAGGATCTAGTCTCATCTCCATTTGGGATCCGTGGGACTTCACTCTCTCCAGTAAGAGAAACATAGCTGAATTTTTGATCTTGAGACATGTTACACTGGCCAAGCCTTTGATCTTCAGTGGTTTTCCTTTAAGGAGATATAAATCAACCCTGCTACTTCTGCCCTTGAGAATGAAGCAAGCTGCCATAGCTCAGTGTGTCCACAGCAAGCTTCGTGCCAAGGTGGTCATGACACCCCAGGTTGGCTCAGGCCAGGCCCAGCTGGAAGCCCCTCACCGGGACAGAACCACAATGGAACAGCCACTCTAAGACATGTAAATGAGGAGAGTTGTACAAGAGGGGAGGAAGACTTCCCTCTGCCCTCAAAGAACCGTCTGTTTATTCACTTGTTTGTTCATTCTTTTCATAAATATTTATTGGACACTTGCCTAGTAGGTAAAGAGACACATTCCTGGACTTAATGAGTGTGTGGCCTGGCTGGGGGTGATTCCAAGGAAGTGAAGTAAGTGCTGTACAGTAGGGATACTGATGGACCACAGCTATGAACAGAGGAAGTTGAACCAGGAGGATCTAAGAAACTTTCACCAGAAAGTTCTTCCAATGCTTCAAAAATAAGGGGCTACTGCTTTGTCCTGCAGGATGAACAGGAACTGGTGGAAGATTCCAGGCAGAGGGAAGGGTACCTGCACAGATCCAGGGCTGTGAGACAAACACCTGTGCCAGCGAGGTCCCATGGTCTGAAGGGTGTGTCTGGGATGGGGAAAAAGGAGACAAGAATTTGGCTTTTATTCTGTGGCTCATGGGACCCATTGAAGGATTGTAGCAGTCACCTCCAACTTCATTCCAGCTCAGATATTCCTTTTTGTTTGCAATTTTTTTTTTTTTGAGGCAGAGTCTCACTCTGTCACCCTCTGTAGAGTGCTATGGCATCATAGCTCACAGCAACTTCTAACTCTTGGGCTCAAGAGATCTTCTTCAGCCTCCCAAGTAGCTGGGACTATAGGCACCCACCACAATGCTCAGGTATTTTTAGAGACTGGGTCTAACTCTTGCTCAGGCTGGTCTCCAGCTCCTGAGCTCAAGCAATTCACCTTCCTCATCCTCCCGGGGTGCTGTGATTACAGGCTGTGAGCCCGGCCTTTTGTTTGCAATAAAAGTGAAAGCGTTAAATTCTATAATGTGTGCAATATGCTGAACTCGACCTGGCAATCAGAAGAAACGCACATTTAATAGCTCTGGAGTTATTTATTATAAGGGCACATGGGTCTCAGAGCTGTTCTAGGTTTGGGACATTCACCTTTTTCCATCCTTCCTCCTGGTGCCGGCTCTGGCTCTAAGCTGTGCTTCAGCCTGTTCATTCACCCTTCGGAGCTCCCTGGGGCTCAGCTTCAGGGGAGTTGAATGGAACCACGTACCAGCTCCCCAGGCTGTCGCTGATATGTTCCATAAGCCCTGTGTTCACTGATCTTACTGTCAGGAGCTGGGATCTGGGGATCTTTCTCTGCACGTTTCGGGAGGATGGGGAAGGAGCTGTGTGGTGGGGGTGGCTGAGTGGGCAAAGAGAGATGAGAAAATTCGGCAGAGGCAGGGAAGCTACGTAGTCATTTGCTAAAGATAGGGGTATTGTGCAAGTGAGCAAAGCTTATTTTTAAAGGGAATCACTTTATGACAATATAGGAAAAAAATCTCTCAAGTTTATTTGGAAAATGTGAAATGGCTAAATTTACTTGTGAAGCTAGTACACCCTTCAGTACTTTTGCCGAGACTGGGCGGTAATAAGAGGAAGCAGGGAAAGGAAGAGGGAGAGAAAGAAAGAAAAAGCCAGGAAAGGAAAGGGGGAGAGGGAGTGGCTCAGCGAGTGGGAGGCCAGGTATGAGCTCGCTGGATGATCAGAGTTTAAAACTACCCCGAATGATGCTCTATAACTCACTGTCTCCTACATCTCCTTCAACCTTCTTTAAAAAGCGGCTTCAATGACACTGTCAGTCATCCCTAAGCATGACCAGACTTCAAAGAGCACAGAGGTTCAGAAAATTTATTTCTGGCTAAGAGAAGGCAGACAACAAAGCCTTCAAAGGAAAAATAAAATTATTTTGCATAAACAGATGTATATTTGCACATGTACATGCACCCATTCAATCTCTCTAGCAAAAAAATATTTAAAGGATACTCCAGACTTCAAAATATCATGTTGAAACTCAGAAAGGTGAGAAGGGCCATGAGCTCCTGGAGACTCCTAGTGGGTCCACAGGGCATGGGCCAGAGAAAGGCCGGGAGTAGCTACTGTATCACCTCAAGTTCAGTCACTCAGAGGAAGATCCTGTGGGGACAGGTCCTCTTGAGGGAATTTTAGCAGCAAAATCACATGACTCAATCTCTATTTTAGGATGATCCTTCTGATGAGGGAACTGAGCATGCTTAAATAGAGTGGATCATGGAGGCCTGGAGACCATTTGCAGGGCAGCTGTGAGAGTCTGCAATAGACAACCCAGCTGTAACCAAGGTGGCCACAGCAGGGCAGATTTGGAGGTAGTGACCATACAGAGGTCAGGTGGGGAGAACAAGAGGTAAGGAGAGGGTGGTGGCTGAGAAATCAGGAATTCCCTGGGGTGCTTCCAGGACAACTAGGCAATCTAGGCCAACCATCATGAATGGGAAAGGGAATGTCAAATTTCTTCAAGGATAAGGGCTTGTTAAAGTACCTGGGTCTCTTAAGTACCATTCATTTGGAAACTAAACACTTACATAGGTAACAGTTCTTATGTATTGAATTAAGTCTATACTTAGAGGCTCTTAAGAGAGAACCTATTGATATTAAGATCCAAGACCCAAAGACAGAATTCTATGAAATGCTTTAGGGCTATCAAGGACAGAAGAGCTTTATCAAGGACAGCTATCAAGGACAGAGGCCTTGATAGCCCTCTTCTCCTAAAGAGGACAAGTCAAGAGAGCAAACAACAGAATCCAAGGAGAGAAAAAGAGGTCCTCGGTGTAAAATAGGAAGCCATTTCAGAAGTGGAGGTACAAACAGGACCAGGTGCTAGAGAGAAGTCAAGTAAGATGAGGCTGCTCCTACTCAGGTGGGCAGAGTTCTTTAGTAAACACAAATTACTCTGATGAAGGTTGAAATGAACAGGGTGGGGAGGACTGGAATTGGAGGGGTACAAAGGAGCTAGCAAGAGAAATCTGTTCTTTCAAGGCCAAGAGAGAGTATCTGCAGGACACAAAGTGAAATCTGCACACTTGGGAGAGACCAGCCATGTTTGTCAGGGATGATAGAGGGCTGGACAGATCCAAGGCATAAGAGAGGGGGTGATATTAACCTGCTTGATAGGTTACCGTAGTAGAAGAGCTGGGAAGCCCAGAGCACAGGTATAGGAAGAGTTGTGGTTTGGCGGTGGAGGACTTCCTTCCCAGCCTCATGGGTTGGCAGCAAGGAAAATAGAGGGTGGGAGTACAGCTCTGCTTATCATTTGTGGGGTTCTCAAAGACAGGTTGGATGTGTGAGGATAGTGTTGGACCCTTGGGAAGGCTGATGTTGGGATAGAAGGAGGAAGCTAATTATAGAAGAGAATGGCCATGAAGAACTGCAGACCCGCCTGAGGCTGAGAACCCCAGACCTGCGTGGATTGTAAATTCCTAAGACACCACTTAGCTCCTTCCCTCTGAGAGCAGGGAAGGGAGGAATTTGAACAATTCCAGGTTGGGTAAAAATCCTGCTATGTTCAGGTACTCTGAAGTTGGAGCACCTGGACCTGTCATTTCAACAAACATAGTGAGTTATCATTGTTTGTTTGTACAGGGTTTAAATACACAGAGACAACATTAGGTAGAAGTGTGGACACTGGAAGTCAATACCCACGTAGCGTTCAGAATGCCTTTACTCTGGGTAAGTCCTCATAGCCAATTTATACGAGAGGAAGAGAGAGAGAGAGAGAAAGAAATGGGTTCTCAAAGCAAACCACTAAATAACTTTAGCAGAAGGGTCTTGCTTTTCAATTTCATTGCACTTGTTAAAGTAAACAGCACACTTTAAAGATGGGTTTACAGAGATAGTTAAGGAGGTGGCCACTGGTGTCTCAATTATCCCAAGGGACCGAGGTCTGGAAAATGGATGACTCACACTGGTGTGGTAAGTCAGCAAGCTGGGGAGTCTGCCTGTAAAGTCTCAGGGCTGCGATATGTGTGTGTGTTTTCATGCATGTGCAAGAGCCCACAAATAAGCTTCGCAGAGACGTATCCCTTTCAGGGGCTTAAGAGAATCTGCAGAAATCAATTAAACCCTGTATGTTTTTCACCAGAGATGAAAATCTGGCAAGTAAAACCTTCTAGGCTTCTTTAAGGAAAAAATGATATCCAGAGCTGGGATTCCATTTGCTGATTTTCATTCACATCAGACTTTCCTTCTGAGGCAAACGCCCTCTATTCTGAGTAGAGAGGGTTACGAGCCAAGAAGGGAAAAAAAGTCTTTGGTTGCCAGCATGGCAAGCCTGAAGAAAATGCTAGAATGAAGAAGTTCCTGGGCATGGGTGTCCCCAAGATTGTAACACTAATTCTATGGCCTGTAGTGCTATTTTTGTCTTTTAAGGACAATTAAATATAGAATTCTAACAGGACTAGGTTTCTTAAAGTTGTATTAAAATTTTTCGGATATCCTGCCTGTTCGTGAGTTCCCTACATTTTCATTTGACTCTCTTGTTTTTAATCTGCCTAAAAATCTGACAGCAAAATTCCACTTTATGGCATTTGAGTTTGAAAGATGCGAGAACTCTTTGTATCTTCTCAGACTTGTAGTCATAAAATTACCAGTGCGAAGGGAACTTGGAGGTCTCCAACACTAGTGTTTCGCCATCATGGTGGCAAGACTAATGGTTGAGTCATGAGTAAAAGCAAACCAAGTATCCACAAAAGAAAAGATAAACATAGTTATATATAAATAAAATTTTAAATGGTGCAAAAGAAACCACAAACTAAATTAAAACACAAACTATTAGCTCAGAGAAATATTTTCAACACATATGATGGATAAAGAATTTATTGCAGTTATATACAAAGAACTCTTAGAAACAACCCAAAAGGAAAACAGGCAATGGCTCTGAATAGGCCCCTTACAGAGAAGCAGATCCAAAGACCAGTAAACACATGCAAAGATGCTCAACTTCATTGCAGATCTGAAAAATGGAAATTAAAGTAAGAATAAAATATAGAACCCACCCCGCTGGCAATCATGAAAAAAAGAGCCGGAACCAATACTACAGGCTGGAATGTGGAGAAAGGGGTCAACTCAAACATTTTTGGTGACTGGAAGAACAATCTGGAAGTGTCTATTAAGGATGAAAAGCACAATCATTCTTTAACCCACATTCTCTGCCTTGGGAATCTACTTCACAGAACCTTGATATTTCAGATGCTAGTACAAAGACGTTAACTGCAGCAACATGAGTAGTGCCGAAAACTATGTAGTGAGTTCTTAAAAATAGGAGAATAAATAAAAAACTTGGAGGATATTAACAGGCATTTTCAAGGCATTGAAGAGAATAAATGGGATCCATAGCAGCTGATCTGGCGGCTTTCCGTACATTAAGTGGGAAACAGCAAGATGTTGGGGAGTGCACATAATACAATTCCATTTTGGAAAATAATGACAAAACTATTATCCCCATATATATAATATTTGCACGTTTGTGTCTGATTATATTAAAATGGAGAATGTTTATAAAAAGCATATGAGGTTGGACAATTAAGTTCAT